AGTAGAGTAGAAGAATGACGTAAAAGTGAAATGCGGTAGAAGAAGGATGTCTGGGAAGAAAATGGGGGAGAAGAAAAATGGTGCAGAATTTACCATACGAGCGAAGAAGAATAAGGAGAGATGAGATCGGGCCAAACGAGCTCCAGAAGAACAAGGCGAGAGCATTAGGGCACAAATCATACTCGAGCTTGCAAGCATAGAGAGGCGAAACGAGGCAAGGCGAGGCCAGGTGGCCTATTCGAGTTTGCGGGTGAGGCGAGGGAAAAATTATTCCGTGCGGTGTGTCCGACCTCGGTGGGATTTTTTTTCTCATAATTTGGAAGTCGTACACTGTATGTCCGCACGACATAATTTTTTGAGGGGGTACAATGTATGTACCATATGTTTAACTAATCACGATCCCTCGAGCCTTGTTTATTCACAACCTTCACTCCTCCCAAACTTCTGTTTGGGACCAATCTAGTTAAACTTATGGTGCAAGTGCCTTAAACACGAAAAAATATTATATTAGGACTTCACACGTAAAATTACATGCATAGTCTAATGAAATCACGCCATGTGAAAAAAAAAAATTTTGTCCGGTAACATAAGGGAATATTCATCTTGTGTTATTAAGGTGTAATTGTGTATTATTCAGATGTTATTGTGTGTTATTCAAGTATTATTGATGTGTTATTGTGTTATTATAATTTCAAGAATATTCTCAGAACACAATAACACATGAATAACATACAATAACACCTGAATAACACACAATTAAACCTGAATGACACAGGAGGAATATTTCCTTGTGTTACCAGGCAGAATTTTTTTTTTACATGGCGTGATTTCATTGGTCTCTGCACGTAATTCTACGTGCAGAGCTCTGATGTAATATTTTTTCGTGTTTAAGGCGAAAAATTATTGCATACGGACACCGCATGCAGAGATGCATGTGGTGTCTGATCTACACCGTAGATCACGGTGATCTACGGTGAGGATGCAATCAATTTTTTATTTAAAAAAAAAATTAAAGTGGGGTCACCGAAATACATCCTCACCGTAGATCACCGTGATCTACGGTGTAGATCGGACACCGCATGCATCTCTGCATGCGGTGTCCGTATGCAATAATTTTTCATCTAAGGCAATTGTATCATATGTTTAACTAGATTGGTCTCAAACAGAGGTTTGGGAGGAATGAAGGTTGTGAATAAACAAGGCTCACGAGATCGTGGTTCTACCCCCTCGAAAAATTATTCGGTGCGGACATCGCATGCAGAGACGCATGCAGTGTCCGATCTCCACCGTCGATCACCGCTTCGGTGAGATCCGATCTCTACCGTCGATCACCGCTTCGATGGGATCCACTTCCAATTTAAAAAAAAAATATATCACCGAAGCGGTTATCGACGACAGAGATCGGACACCGCATGCATCTCTGCAAGCGGTGTCCGCACGGAATAATTTTTTAACATGAAAAAATATTACATCAGGACTCCGCACGTAGAGTTACGTGCGGAGTCCAATGAAATCACGCCACGTAGAAAAAAAATTATGCCCGGTAACACAAGGGAATATTCATTCTGTGTTATTCATGTGTAATTGTGTGTTTTTCATGTGTTATTGTGCGTTATCAAGTATTATTGATGTGTTATTGTGTTATTATAATATCAGGGATATTCTCATAACACAATAACACCTAAATAACATACAATAACAGCTGAATAACACAAAATAACACGAGAGAATTATTCACTTGTGTTATCGGGCCGATCACCTCCACGGCGTAATTTCATCAAACTCTGCTCGTAACTCTATGTGCGGAGTCCTGATGTAATATTTTTTTCTTTAAACATAATTAGTTTGTAAAGAAAATTTTAAAAACTCAAATAAACGCACCCTAAGGGTCTGTTTGTGGCAGTTGCAGATTATTGATAATATGTTGATAAGCATCTGATCCAGATAAGCTATTGTTCAACAGCTGATCCAGATAAGTTAACTGTCTGTTTGATTTTTGCGTTTGAAAAACAGCTGATTTGCAGTTGTTTCTGGATAAATGACTATTTTACTCGTGCAGTAATGTTGTTTACGATTGATTTATCATAACTATAATAAATATGCTAATATTTGTTATTAATTTTTAGTACAATCTTAATTTATTAATTTTGACATAATATTATTTAAATTAAGGTTGTGTGTTTGGGGTGACGACTTGGTTGTTGCGCGGCACCACACCGCTTTTATTTCCTGTTTGGGGCGACTTTCCTGCCGTAACGTGTCGCGATTTCACGGTTAGGGATGTCAAAAAAGCTCGTTGTTCGCGAACAGTTCGTGTTCGGTGTGTTCGGTTCGTCAATAGTCAATAAGTTTGTGTTCGATTCGTTCGATAAGCAAACGAGACGAACATGAACAATTTTTTTTCGTTCGGTTAATTAAATGAACCGAACACGAATAGTGATGTGTTTATTCGTGTTCGAATCGCTATTGTTCAAAATATAAAATAATTTAAAATAATTATATCTAAAAAATTTATGATATCTTAATAAATTAAATTTTATAATTTATAATTTATAATAAATTAATAATAATAATATATTAATATACTATATTAGTAATATACTAATACAAATATTATATATTTATATAATATAAGTTATATAATGAATATAATATATTATTTATATATATTAATACTAGGGATGTCAAACTGGCTCGTATTTCGCGAACAACTCGCGTTCAGCTCGTTCGTTAAGAAACGAATGCGAACAGTGACTTCACGAACAATTTCAAACATGTGCTTATTTCAAACAAACTAAATTTCAAATGAACCAAACACGAACACAAACTCTGTTCGGTTCGTTTACACCCCTATTTACGGTAACGCGGAACGTGCCTAGCGACCCGTGGCCCAACATTTTCATCGGCTTTTTACCCTCGTGCGCTCCTTTACGCTGCGCTCAATGAAAGAAATCTCCTCGTGAAGCCGCAAGCGATGATCTTCTCCCCTCTCCTCTTCTCCGATAGTCGTCCTCCTCCTCTTCCCCGATGGCTTACAATACGCAGGTCCTCTTCTTCATGTCCTCACGACTCTCTCACGCAGCCCGGTTTCTCTTCCTCGAAGAAGCAATAATAATTTTTTTTTCTTTTGGATGCTTTGGATCTGGTGGCTACCTGATTCTTGGATAGATTTTTTGAGAAGGGCATGATGATCTTATGCATGTTTGGTTTCTTATTGATGACCTCTCTTTTGACCTTCTTTTGTACATATACAAGTTTGCTTTTAAGTCCTTTTGGCAACCGTGATTCTCTGCTATATGGTTCTTATGCGTTCTTATGATGACATATTATTTATGTCTTTATGCTTTCCTCATAGCTTTGATTTTTTAAAGGAGGATGTGCATGCATGCCGTCAAGTTCTTATGTATTTACATATCTCACTCCTAAATTTGGTGTGATTGTGACTCTGAAGTTTTACGTGTAAATATCAAAGTTTAGAAATTAGTAAATACCTAAAAATTGTGTGGTATGTATGTATGTAAATACTTAAATTCATTAATTTGGAAGTGTTCTTTTTTTCTTTGTTATGATTGAAATTTGATTGAAATGGTAATATAATTATTTGGAATTTGGGGATAACTTTTAGAAATACTGTATTTATGTGTTTTCACTCTATGATGTTTTAGAATTGTCACTGATAGTTGAGGTTGACCAGTTTCGATATATTTCTCTTCTTGTTGTCATCTTTTTTTTAGATAGTTTCCAGCTTAAAATAATTGACTAAAGGATCTGTTTCGCTGCTTTCAGGGAAGATGAATTTTAGAAAGAGATTTCCTTTCTGATGTCACGTCAGCCCTATAGCTACAGTCGACAGTTTTAAAGATGCGCACGGAGTCTCGCATAAAAATGTGACTTCTTCTGATGAGCTGACGGTCAAGTTGCTTCCACTGACGAAAATGATCACGAATTGATAACATCATTGGATGACAGTTTAGGACGAGACATACATCACATTCATGTTAAAAATAATATCATGATTATTTTACTTGTAATTTTATTATTATTTTTTCTTTTTTCTTTAGCACTTTCGGTACTCACTGTTAAGTGAGTTGTGTATATGAATTTTTGTTCTGTTTTGAAATGAATTTTTGCTCCTAAAGTATCAAATATATGACCATCACAGTTTTGTTTTAAACAACTTTACGAAAGAACGACATAATGATCATTTTTTAGAAACGATTACTTCACAGTTGTTTTCACACAGCTGCAACAAACAGACAATCAGCTTCCTATGCAGCGAAAAAATATTACCTCAGGAGTACTGATGCATCAGTACTCCAATGAGGAGGTGTCACGTGACATTATGATGAGGTCATTGTATATGTGGCAGCGCAACCGTAGCTGCCCCAAACATACTCTAAATTATCTATTTGATTACTAATTTTCAAAATTTATATCATCATTTTATTTTTCAAGAAGTGAAATATACCTTAGCATGCATAAATAAGGTGATTGGTATGAGTTAAAATCTAGGTGATAGATATTTAAATATATAAAAATTGGGTGCTATGGATGCAAATCTTCCAATAAAAAATTTACCATAATTATAAAAATAATAAACAATGAGCATAATAAGCAATAAAAACTAAATAATATCGGAAAAAAAACTCGAGTAATACCGATTCCGGCAAAATGTTTGAATAACATCAATTAACTTACCAATAATAGTAAAAAACAGCGTAAATAACACCAAAATAACACTTGAATACTACCATAAATAACACGGGAAAATATTACGAATCTATGACTAAAAAAAGATACGAATAATATCATACGAATAATATCGTGAATAATACTAAGTTTGAATAATACCACGTAACTCACCCATAATACCAAAAAACTGCGTGAATGGCGTTGATTCACTATTTTTTTGCGGTGTTATTTGCATTACTATTCAAGTATTATGAACCTGTTTATAATGCAGGATAAAACATGAACATGTTAAAAAAAAAAAACCTGTTTATCCGGAACGAAGCGAAGACAATAAACGCCATTCTCCGCGTTTGAAAAAGCACCGCAGCTGTTTAGCTCTCCGCCCACTGTTCTTTCTTTCGGCTGCCGCCCTCTTCTCGCAGTTACGCAACTCTCGTCGGGCTCATCCTGCAAATCAGTCTTCAAACCTCCAAAAATGCTCTGCTCAATCCCCACATCAAGATCCACCCTCAGCTGGCTTGATCGCCTCTACACCTCCAAGGGTTTCACCGTCCCCGCCGACCTCGATCTCGATCACTTTCTCTACTCGAACTCTAAACCTAAGCCCACTCCTTCGAATCCAGAGGCCGTTGATCCCCCTCTCAGCGGGATGAAGCTGCAGTCCCGAAAGAGGGTCTTCTTAGAGAAGGAGCAGTGCCTATTTTCTCTGATGAGCAACGTTCTCTCCGAGCTCTTCGTTATGGGAGACACCCGCAACTCAATTGCAAACCTGAAAGGGGCGCGGAAGCAGCTGAATCCTAGGGCGTGCGTCTCTTCAGCTTCCGCCAGTGCGGATGGCGGGGCTTCGGCGATGTCACCTTCCAGCGCCGACAATAGCATCGCCGAAGCGAAGAGGGGTCCGAAGAAGATGAAGAGGATGCGGGCGAACCCAGGGCATGCAGCGGGTTGGGATCCATCGGTTTCTACTGGCACGGTTGTGACGGTGATTGATACCAGCTCGCCGGGGTGGAAGACGGAAAAAAATTTCAGAAAGGGGATGGTGTGGAAAGGAAGGGAGAAGAAAATGTGGAATGTGAGCAGGAAGAAGAGAAAATTGGGTTTGGTAGAAAAGTTTGTTGAAGAGAAGGAGAGGACCGTGAGGCTGCGGCCTCTGGCCGTGTTGAAAGGGCAGGAGCTGAACGAGAATGCTAAGTTGCAGAATGAAGTAAATTTCTTTTTGACATATCGCATTTTCTTATGATTTCGACTCTTAATTAACTGCCATTAACTTGCCATATCTTTACTTCATTTTAAATTTAGTTAACCATGCAAAATTAGCTTAATTATTTTGTAAACATAAGTTTAATCAGGAGTATAAATTTAATGATGATTAATGTACTTTAGTTTACCTTTAGTTTTTCTAATTATGAAGAACGAAGTTAATTACTTTACATACATGAGCTATGAAAAGATAAACTTCATTATTCTAAAAAATATAAGCTTATGAAAAGATAAGCTTAACTTTGATTCTGAAATTTATGTCAATTCATTCATTTTACTTGAACTAGCTGATTAAAGTTGGAGATAATTTGTTGTATTTTTCATTTCATCATTTGTGCTAAATTTAGTAATGTCTAGGAAAACTTAAAGGTTGAAGCTAACTATAAATAGGAAATAGAAAATGTAAAATGATGTTTCATGGATTGGTGAGGTGGCGACAATAATTTTATGGATCAATGAGACGACATAAAGAGAATGCGGAAGCTGACATATGGGATCGCAGGAGTTAGTGCTGATATGTTGGAGACTGAATTGATGGAATTTTATTTCGTCATAATCCTCCGTAAGCAAATAAATAGATGTTGTTCATTCAAAGCTTGTATGCCAATTTGTGAGTTATTTGTTGTGATAATTCTTTAATAGGATTGTCAACAAGTTGTGCATCTGCGGGGACAAGCTGAATATAAAATATACTATTATCTAGCTTCTTTTATAATAATAAAATATCTATCTACTTCAATGCTTTTTATTCAATCATATTTCATAGAATTATGTGCAACTTTAATAGTTGATTTGTTGAAGATAATTTATTGTATGTTTCATTTCATAATTTGTGCCAAATTTATTAAAGTCCAAGGAAACCTATTGAAGAAAATATATAATAATTAGGAAATAAAAATTATAGAGTTAATTATAATTATGATGATCCATTGATTGGTGAGTTTATAACTTACAACAATAATCCCATGGATTAATGAGGCCGTTTGAAGAGAATAAGGAAGCTGATAGATGTGATTGTAGTAGTCAAGAAAGATATGTTAGAGGCTAAATTATGCAAATGAATTTATGTTATTAATTCCGATCTTTTAAGTTATTGTCCTTATAATCCTTTGATGAGAATGTCAACAAGTTGTGCATCTGTGGTCATAAGCTGAGAATAATTAGTAGCATTTTTATGATAATAAAATGCTATCAACTTCAATATTTTTTCTTTATTCATATTGCACAGATTATGTACAATATTATTGACTGTTTTGATGTCATAATAAAGCCTGATAGGACCTTTTTATTCAATCTTTAAATTTTTTAGGATAATTTTCAGCCACTTTAATATATAGATTTTATATGCCATAGATCTAAATTCAGCTTTTGCACTAGATTTTGCCACTACCCTTTTATTACTTATTCAAATTATATATTTTTCTTCTAAGGATGTGCAATATTCTAAAATTATCCTATTAATCATTGACACTGTATAATCAAAAACTTAAGTTTCAAGCATTAGATTTTCCTGCTCTTGAATGAAATTATTTTATGTAGGTTTCTTTTCATGTATTATAAAAGTCAATGTGTAACTCCTAGATATGATTCATTAGAATTTTGCATGAATTGATTTACCATACCAACAATATAGACTATGGCAGGTCTAGTTTGTGATAAACTACTTTAGTCTTTGGTAATAGGTTTTCTATCCCTATGTTTTTTGAAGCATCTTTCGTTAAGTTTATGATTAAATTTATAGGGTTTTTGACAAGGCTTGCACTCCAACTTGCTTGTTTCTTTTATTATGTATGTCATGCATTTTTTTTTTTTGGTGATATAGAGATCTTATGTCAAGGGTGTGCAACCTCAATACCAATGGAGTAATTCAAGTTATTTTATTTTGTGACTTCAAATTATTGTAACATCATATTTAAAATCTCTATACTCTTATGATGAGGCCATTGACATAAATGAATAGCGTATAAACTCCTTTTAAAGCCACGTTTCACATAAAATGTATGGCCTTGTTACTCTGTTTGTATTTCATGTTGATTATTATCTCGGTAGATCTTCTGAATTATGTTGTTTGAGATTAATTAATACCATAAAAGACCATTTTAAAGTTAAACAAAATTTTTTTCTTAAGAGAAACAATATATATATATATATATACACACTTAGACTTGAAAGGAGAATTTTATAAGTTGGTGGTGAAACCTGCAATGCTTTATGACACAAAATGTTGGGCTTTAACGAGAAGTTTAAAACTAAGTTAAGTGTTTTATTTTAAGAGTGCACATTTTGCATTAAAACAAAATCAAAAGGTACAAAAAAAGAGCTATAACAACTACACAAAAAAAGGCAGCTTGATTGACATCTTCCTCAACCACGCAAAAAAAAATCGGGGTCACAAGTGTGATCCTCCCAAAAGAAAGATCTATCCAAAGCAAGCCTGATACAAAAATGGGCCTCTTTGTTAATTCTCTATATGAAAATAAAAAAATAACCTGTCTAAAATTAGAGAGAAACGTCAGTTTCAAGCTCAATCTGTGGTTTTGTTGCCAAACCTTAATTTTCATGCCCTTCTGAAAGGAATTAATGTCCTCTTCATTCTCCCCCTCAATGATGATTCCCTTCATTTCCAGCATCCATGACTAAAAAACAGTGGCAAAAAACAACACCGCCTCATATTTCTGTTGTGGTATATTTAAAATAGAACAATCGACGACGAAGTGAAAAAATAGAACTAGAATATTCACACCAGAAAAGAACAAGAGTGAAACACACAGATTTATGTGGTTCGGTGAATTGTCTACATCCACGGAGCTGCAGAAGATTTTATTAATTGAGGAAATTACACCGTCGATCGTCTTGACTTATAAGAGAAAGTCTCACTTCCTCACTCTCCTCTTCTCTCTACCGGAGAGTCACCACACAATCGAAGAGAACTCCAAAGAAAACAAAGAGAAAGCTCAAAATGCTTTTCACGCCTGCACCTCCTTCACAGGTCCAAACAAATGGAGGAGAAGCAATGCTCTTAGAGTTTAGACACTTCTCTTCTTGTTCTTCTTTGGTTCGATTGCAAGCGAACAATCGATTGCTGAAGATGAAGTATAAATAAAGAAGAACGAAGCCTTCCAATTTCTTATGCAGACTTGGATTTCGGTCACACCAGGAAATCCCGAAACTCTCTTCTCTGTTAGGCTGAAAGAGGAGGTTACAGAAGAGTAGCCAGTTAATTTTGATTTTAATTCCTTCTTCTATTTCTATAGAAATGGTGGGACCCACCAAAGCTAAGAGGATGGGAGGCGGGAACGGTTCAAAGAGACGGCAAACAGAAATATATTTTAGTTTTTTTTTAACCGGGCTCCACACTCAACAAATCTCGCACTTTGAGACCGATACATAGGCTACAACTTCTTCTTCCTCAATCTGATATCTTCCATTGACGGTGCAACCATTTTCTTCAACATGATATCCTCCACATCTGCAACTCAATGCCCCTATCTTCAAGCTAGAAAACCAACTGAAGCTGCGCACAACTTCAGTTTCTCATGAGTAACACCCTTTGTCAACATATTAACAGAGTTTTGACTCCTACAAATTTTCTCAAGCAACAACTGTCCGTCATCCAACAATGACCTTATGAAGTGATACCTGATCTGAATGTGCTTAGTCCTGGACTGAAATGCTGGATTCCTACCAAAGAATATGGCGCTCTAACTATCACTATAGAGACTGCCCTTCTGATTCTTCTTGCCCAATTCTTCTAAGAAGTCCTGTAGCTATATCATCTTTTTTGCAGCCTCTGACACTGCTATATACTCAGCTTCTGTAGTAGACAAGTAGACAATGAAACTGTCTTCTAGACAATGAAACTGTCTTCTGCAGATTAGAGCCTCATGATATTGCAGTGCCACCAATTATATAAACATAGCCTGTAGTACTTCTTATGTTATCAATGTCTCCAGCTAAATCAGCATCAACATAGCCCTGTACCTCTGAACTCTTTCCTGAGAAACACAAGTAAGTTTCTGAAGAGCCTTTTAGGTACCTTAAGATCCACTTCACTGCTTCCCAATGTTCATTTCTTAATTACTCATGTATCTGCTAACAACTTTCACTGCATGGGCAATATCCGGTTTGGTGCAAACCATAACATACATAAGTGAACCAATAGCTAAAGCATAAGGAATCTTACTTATGTGGTCTCATTCCTTCTCTGACTAGGGTGACTGATTCTTGCTGAGTCTGAAGTGACTTCCCGAGGGTGTGCCAACTGGTTTGGCCTTATTCATGTTAAACCTGCTTAGTACTTTTTTCGCATACTCAGTCTGAGAGAGTCTCAACATACATCTGACTCTATTTCTGACAATTTTCATACTAAGAATTTATTTTGCCGCTCCCAAATTCTTCATTGCAAAGTGCTTTGACATATGCTCCTTTAGATTATTGATCTCATCAATAGTAGCCTCTATAATAAGCATATCATCCACATACAACAGAATGATGATATAAGAATTATCAAAATACCTAACATATCAACGGTTATCTGTCTGACATCTGCTGTACCTTGCATTGTGCATGAAATTATCAAATTTCTTGTACCACTGTCTAGGAGCTTGCTTCAGGTCATACAAACTCTTCTTCAATATGCAAACCCTACTCTTCCTTTCCCTGTATTATGAACCCTTCAAGTTGGTGCATATAGATGTCTTTTTCAAGGTTCCATGAAGAAAAACTGTCTTCACATCTAATTGCTCAAGGAAAAGATCTTCAGTAGCCACTAGAGACAGTACCATTATGATGGTTGTAAGTTTCACCACCGAAGAGAAAATCTCAGAATAATTAATATCATGCTTCTGCTGAAAACTCTTTACAATAAGTCTAGCTCTGTACCTCTTACTATCATCATGCTCAATCTTCACTCGGTACACTCACTTGTTGTGTAGTGCCTTCTTC